TAAGTTTCACATACGAGGATTTTCCGGAAAAATCGTGGACAACGAAAAAAAACACCATTAATTCTAAAATTTTCACTACTCTTTAGTACATTTTTCATCAATTGAAAATTTTAATAATTATAGGCATAAAAGTACAAATCATGAGATTTTTATGCTATGGATTGTATCACCTTACGGCGCGCGGGTGATAACGTAAATTTCTAAAGCAGTGTCAAATTTCTTTTTTGCTAAAAAAAAGTTCGATAAGTCCTTATTTAACCATAGATATATTTGTCCATACTGTAATAACTCTGAAATGCGCTATTGGTGTACCCCCCCAGGTCCATCTTACAGTCACTTAATTTATTTTAGTTGTTTGATAGGTAATTTATCAAATAAATGTAAAAAAGATTTAAACTTATGAAAAATGATGGCAAATTGTAACAAAAATCACTAAAAATTATGCTGATATGAGTGTGTTTCCCCTTATTATTATTATTTTTTTAAATTTCAGCTGTTTAAGTTTGGTTGTTTAAAAGAAAAAAAATGGGGGTAATTTTCTCATGTACATGTATGTGCCTTCTGTAGGAAACTGACCACCACTTGAAAATGTTCACTTATCTTTAAAAGACGAAGACGGTCCTATATGACAAAAACAGGACTGTAGTTGATACTTGGATTTCCCCCATCCTAAATAGACATTGAAGCATACTCGTCTTGTATTACAGTGTACAGATGGAACAGCATTGAATATTGCTGTATAAATAAGGGAAAGTGAACTTGAAATTGAAGTCGTCCCGTTTGTTATAAATTTTAGTTTAAGTTTGCCATAAACTCTTAGACAGAAATAGATCCAAGTATAAAAAAGATGTGGCAAACTTGGGGTCCCGGGAAAAAAGGGTAAAAAGAATTCTTACAAGCAGAACTGCGATTTTAATTCAATGCAGACCCCAGTTAGTCAATACAAGTCACTGATTAATTCAAACCATAGCCTAACCTGGGTAGGACTGGGTAGAACAAAAGAAGATCAAAATAAGTAGGAGAAAATTTTTTAACACGTTGATCCTATATTTAAAGTCTTAAAATTTTTTGTAAGTATATTTTTAGTTTCTACATACACAGATTAATTAATCTTCGACGTTTTCCCTGCAATATTTTTATACAATTAAACAAAAACAAAATGAACTCTAAGTCTGTTTAAAAAAAGACACTTTAAAATTGTGAATTAGAAAAAGTTTCTAATTGCTTCGCATAATCAATCATTTGACCTTTCTGCACTTATAAAATGTTATTTTTCTGGCATTGAAAATTTAATCAGCAAGAAAATTATTTTAGTCGTAAACTTTTTCTGAATTTAAGCAAATAGGTCAAAGTTATCTTGAATATTTATACAGAACATCAAAAGGGGGGGGTATATGATGCAAATTTTCAGATATTACCAAAAAAGTGTCATTACGTTAAATTGGCTCAATTTTTCCCCGGATTTTCAGAATATATATACTATATTTGTCACACTTTGTTGATAGAATTCATAAAAAATTATTTAATAGATATTTCAGAACCAGCATAACACATTTAAATGCAAAAAACAGCTTTGTGTGCAATAGCATGGAAAAATAGGAATCCAAAATAAACAGTACTGTTATATTTCAAAAGGGACAAATTGATCATTTTGTCTAAAAAGCCTCCCGCCACAAAATAGAGTCCCTAGTTTAATTCTACTTGAATAAATTTAATTGCGGTTTTTTCATTGAAAATAGTTCAATTTGCATTGTAAATTCAGATTAAATGTTAGAATTTATAAATAATGCAGAATTTTATAAATAAAGGCATGACCAAAATCCACTCAAAAGCTCAGGATCGAACGTCCTTAAGGTAATATTCAATATTTCATTAGAGAAAAGTGGGTAAAGATCGAGGCAAATTTGTTCAATTCATGATACATTTGTTTTTCCTGGGAGAAAACCAAAACTAATTTTAAATAATAGGAAGGCAGTGATTGTATTTATAATACAAACATCAAATAGTTTAGAATAAAATATATGGAGATAACGAACAATAATAAAGTTCAAAAGTCCATAAAACAATATAAAATATATTGGAACTTAGTAAACGGGGACCTCCGAAACATCAGAGGTGGGATCAGGTGCCATGGAAGAGTAAGCATCCCCTTGTTGACCTGACACACCCGCCGTGTGCTCCTTGTCATGATCGGGACATACGGAAATATCCGTCTTCAATTCAGCTTGTAAATAAAGGCCTGACATTAGTATAAAAAACTTTAATCAGTATTTGATTCGGTGATAAATTGTATTTTCTAACAAGGTCATTGTATCGACTATAGAACTTACGAACCGATGATTCCAAACGAGACTGTTGATATTCTTGTTTGCAAGTTATTGAAAATAATGAAAGTTCCCCCTGACAGTGACTTGAACGAGGGAGAACTGTACACTTAACAAAACTTCTAAGTGTTCACTTTAATATATGTATTTATTTAAAAGCTACTTTATAGAATTGTAAGATATTATCAAATTATTACAACTTACAAATGAGTCTTTTCAACAATTGTAAAGATGAAAAACAGTGTCCGTGACGAAGCTTAAAAACAATAAATTTGTACTTAGCGGCACGTGTTTTGTAATTAGCATCTGTTTGTGATATTATCAAATATCAAAAACTGATTTCACTAAAAAACACAAAACATTAGCAAAATGACGATTGAGATAGAAGGGAAAGCCGTTGATATTTGGACCATCCTTGCACCACATTTTACTCAAATTTATTTAGTGTTATTTTTTCTTTGATATTACTTTTAAAAATTAACAACCAGTATCAAAACCCATTTTAATACATTTTTCTACAGGCTGTGCGTCATTTTTATCACCAATTTATCACAATTTTAAAGCTTTGGTTAAAAGAGTGTTAAATTATCCTGAAACAATCTCCAGAAACATGAAAACAACCAATTTCAATCGCATGAAAATGATAAGAGATCGGTGCTCGAGACAGTCTAATATCATCTCAAGCAGTCTGAATCATCCTTAAAGCGGTGAACTTACGTGCTTAACGCCAAAGGATATTGACCAAAGGCCTCTGATGCACTGTCAAATTCCCGGATCTGAATCCCTTTGAACACATTTGGGATTTTTATAAGGCATGTCACCCCCTACCCAATTTCAACGGTTAGGAAAGATTTATGCAGTATGTATGGCAGCAGTTTGGTCAATCTCCTATTCAGGGGTACATGTACATGGTATTCAACGGTATTAGATGTCTTGCAGTAATATGAGTCTATCTTCAAATTAATTATGCCTATCTTCATAGCAATTGAACCTATCATCAAATAATAGGTAAGTAAAATTGATTTGAAGATAGATACAAATTATTGAAGATACATGAAGGTACAAATATTCAAATAAATATTAATTGTCATTCCATTCAAAAGTTCCTATATTGTTAGATTTTATGGACCTTGTAGTTAAGGCAGTAATGCATACTGGGCAAATGCTATATACTACATGCACAAGGCTACGTTAGTCATAGTGATGCATTCGAATTCGTATTAATTCTACGTTTCTTAACGACTTAAGGTTACAAAAAGGACAAGGAAGGTGAGCTGATTATTTTTATTTAATCAAAGACGGACATTTTTCTTTTTAAACAATAACAGGGCATCATCTAATCGTAATTGCCTATTTGCCTTTCATTTTTTATTACAGCAATTATTTCCTTCATATAGTTTATACCAAACCGGAAAATGTACTGTACGAAACTAATATCCATTTTACTTCCTGGAAGATCAAGATTTCAACTTATTCACACAGAAGTCAACTGTTTGAATTGTACAATTATAAGGCCAGTGATGATCGAATAATAGAACATCAATGTGCTGCATTTGTGAACATCTTTGATGCACCATAACACAGGGTATATGTAGATGTATACCATGGAGTTAGCGATATGGATATTTATTTTGATTTTTATTCCTACATTTCAAACTACAACAGGTAAGTGTACTTATGTTTCATTCTATTTCTTCAATTCACAACTACTAGCAATGGTAGTTTACTGAAGATAAGACGAAATGTTATCATCACAAATGTATTTCCCTTGTGATTACCTTATTTTACATTTCTATCAACAATTGCGAAAAGGAAAAGTTTTTTTTTTAATTTCAACACGATTAAGATCCCGGAAGTCCTACGCTAAGTTTGGATAAGTAAAAAAGCTTTAAAATTTCAACCAACATCACATTGATTCATGTGAGTTTATGGATGAAACATTCACTTTCAATGTATGAATTTACAAGATAAGTTTTGAGATACATGTAATTAGATAATATAACTAGAAACGACTCGTTGCAAGCAACGAGAGGTCTTCCGTCCGATTCGGGGGGGAAAAACATGTAAAATCGAACTAAAAAAGTGATTAAAATTTTGGTCACAAGGGGGATTGAACCCAGGTCGCCAGCCTGAAAATCCACTCTTGACGCTTTTTTTCTCTTTTATTTCCATCGTGTTAACCATTACGCTAGTGGGACTAGTGCTCTAAATGTACTTGTATATACTTCTGCAAGAGTACACCTGTCCAAGAATTATGAAAGGCGGCCACTATTCATAATTTCACGCCAAACGCTACGAGTATATCTTCGCTCCTTTTTTTTCAAATGTTCCAGTAATAGGTGTGATAGCTTAAAGAGCATTTTATAGCCTAAATTTCGAGGTTTAAAAAGTATATTTAACAACACACTGTACACATTCTTTATCGTATTTAGGTAAATAACAATAAAGCAGTGAAATGCCTATACATGTAATTTTAAACTTTTTCATTTCCTGTTTATCCCCATAGTGAACTATCGTGATAAGTTAAAATGGTTCGCCAAAAAAACATGTCTCGCCCTACGACGTGAAAAGAATCAGATACCATTTATGTTCAATATAATTATTTGAATCAGATCCTTGAGAATAGAATGTTAATATAAACTCCATCAAACAATTTTATGAAGAAATGGTTTTCTTATCTTTTATCTTTTGTATTAATTTAATATGACACAAGTGTGCATGAGAAAAACATGTGTTACTTTTTATATTTACTATATATAGATATATATCGAATATTGTTTCTTGAAAAACTATTACAATGTACTTATAACTTTGATTGAAGATCTGTTTTTCCGTGGTTCAAAACAAAAGATAGTAGGTATCTTATTACATTTGCACATTTAGTCTTCTTTTTCTACTTTGAGAAACAGCCAAAATCAATTACAGAAGACGTTTGAGAAGAACTTGGAATATACCTTTAGTTTGACACAGAACTGCAACGAAACTACGACGTGACAATCTAAATATTCCTTTACATTTCATTTATCCTTATGTTACTTTCGTTCAAGCAAACGCTCAGCTGCCTCCGTAAACCCCTATTGCGAAATGTCGGCGTTGACAGAGACAGCCGCCATTTTGGACCCGCTTCAGATTTTTGAATGCTAATATCTAGAGTTTAGATTTATCAACATTCAAACAAATTATATAGTAAGCATTATTAGGAGAACTTCTATTAATATACCAAAAATAAATGAAAAATACTGAAAAACAAAAAAGTTAGAAAATACGGTTTTTTTTAATTTGCATCTCGTTACGACCGGAAGTAATGACGACGCACGAAAAGGTGATTCCGCAAACCACAAAGTGACAAACTATCGTCTCCAATAAGTCTCCAGTTCATATCCTTAGCCATTTTCGATAAAAAGGGGCGACAAAATTTCATTTTAAAATCAGGAAATTGTCCATAACTTGGCATCAGAAGCAATTTTTCCAAATTTCTCTACGGATGTAACAACTTCATATTATGACACATATTTTGTGAAAGTTTCATGAAAAACCGCTGAATAGTTTTCGAGAAATCGCCTGTACAAAATTTTGTAAAAAAAAAAGAATAATAAGAATAACTAGATGAAACTCGTTGCGAGCAACGAGAGGTCTTCCTTCCGATTCCGGAAAGAAAACGTAAAATCGAGCTGAAAAGTAAAAAAAAAGAATTGCACACAAGCGGGATTGAACCAAAGTCGCCACATGAAATTTCAACGCACTAAATATTACGCTATCGGGACCTCTACTCTAAATCTACTTGTATATATATCAACGAAACAGTGCTTCTCTCTTAAAATTATGAAAGGCGGGTCACTACTCAAATTTTAGCGCCAAACGCCACGAGTTAATCTTCGACCCTTTTCTTTGGAATGTTCTATTAAATAGGTGTGATAGCTTCAATGAAATTTTTAAAAAAATAACGTTCTTATAGCCTAAGATTCGAAGTTTAGAAAGTATGTTTAACGCATTTTACAATTTCCATATTGTATATATGCATGTAACACTAAAGCGGTGAAACGGATATGATTTTTTTTTTTCAATTTCCTGTTTATCCTCAAAGTGAACTATCCCGAATAGTTAATCGAAAAAGGTTGAAAAGTTTCGCCGGAAAACATGGCTCGCCCTACGACGGTCAGGAATCCGATATAATTTATGCTCAATAACTTGAATCAGGTCTTTGAGACAAGAATGCTAAAATAAACTCCATGAAGCGATCTTTAAAAAAATCGTTTTCTTATTTTTGTCTAATTTATTACTTTAATATGACAGAAGTGTGCAGTGGAAAAAAAGTGGTTAATATTTATACTGACAAAATTAATTGATATTCTTTTTTGAGAAAGTATTACTTATAAGTATGATTTAAGATCTGTTTTTCGGCGATGCACAAGAGATATTAGGTATCGAATTTCATTTGCACATTTAGTCTTTTCTTTTTCTACTTTGAAAACCAGCCAAAACCAATTATAGAAGACGTTAGTTTGACACAGAACTGCAACGTTAATACGACGTGACAATCCAAGTATTCCTTTGCATTTCATTTATTCTTATGTTACTTTCGTTCAAACAAACGCTCGGCTGCCTCCGAAACACCTATTGCGAAATGTCGGCGTTGACAGAGACAGCCGCCATTTTGGACCCGCTTCAGATTTTTGAATGCTAATATCTAGAGTTTAGATTTATCAATATTCAAACAAATTATATAGTAAGCATTATAAGAAGGGTTTCTAATAACATACCAAAAATAAATTAAAAATACTGAAAAACAAAAAACTTAGAAAATACAATTATTTTAAATTTGCATCTCGAAACCGCCTGAAATACTGACGACGCACGAAAAGGTGATTCTGCAAACCACAAAGTCATGATCTATCATCTCCAATAAGTCTCCATATCATATACTTAGCCATTTTCGATAAAAAGGGGCGACAAAATCGCATTTTAAAATCAGGAAATTGTCCATAACTTGGCACCAGAAGTGAATTTTCCAAATTTCTCTTCGGATGTAACAACTTCATATAATGACACATATTTTGTGAAAGTTTCATGAAAAACCGCTGAATAGTTTTCGAGAAATCGCCTGCACAAAATTTTGTCAAAAAAAGAATAAGAATAACTAGATATGAAACTCGTTGCGAGCAACGAGAGGTCTTCCGTCCGATTTTTAAATAAAAATCGAAAAATGAAAAAATTGAAAAAAAAATACAACATTTGGGGGAGCTCACAATCCAACTCGCTAATCGGCCATTGAAAATACCGCTTCAAATTTTGAAATGCAAATATCTCGAATTTCGAAAAAAGAAATTACTTTTTGCAAATAAGGAAACAATATAAAAACAAAAAATTTGAAAAATTGCATTTTTTAAATATGCTTCCGGCAGAAACTGAAGTGCTGACCCGGCGATTCTGCCCACAAAGTCATAATCTATCATCTCCAAATCTCCAATAGCGCTTTTCGATAAAAGTGCGCGACAAAATATTTTAAAATCGAAAATTGTCTAACTTGGCACCGAAGCCCAAAAGCTCACAAGTTCATGTAATGACTATCTTGTGAAAGTTTCGTTGAAAACTTGTTTTGTCAAAAAAAGGAATATACTTCTGAAAGACGGAAGACCTTACATCTTGCGAGCAACGAGAGGTCTTCCGTCCGAGAATAAAATCGAGTTGAAAAAGTGATAAAACTTTCATGGAAACAAAGGGGATTGACTATTCATAATTTATTGGGACCACAGCTCTAAATCTACTTTTACCGTATATACTTCTGAAACAGTACATCTGTCTTAGAATAATGAAAGGCGGTCGCTATTCATAATTGTGCGCCAAACGCCACTAGTAAACCTTCGCGCCTTTTCTTTGGAATGTCCCATTAAATAGGTGTTATAGCTTCAATGGAAATAAAAAAGAACGTTCTTATAGCTAAAATTTCAAGGTAAAGAAATTGTTTTTAACACATTTACAAATTCTAACTATGCATATATAGATTAGTAACACTAAATCAGCGAAACTGCTATAATTTTTTTAATTTTAAAAATTTCTGTTTTTCCCCGTACTGAACTATCCCTATTAGTTAAACTTTCATAAAAAGGTTGAAATGTTTCGCCGAAAAGCATGTGTTGCCCTAAGACGGCCAAGGAATCGGATACCATTTATGTTCAATAACTTAAATCTATTCTTTGAGACAAGAATAATAATATAAACTCAATTCTTCTAAAAAATGGTTTTCTTATGTTTGTCTTTCCTATTGGTTTAATATGACTCAAGTGTGCATGAGCAAAACAGTGGATACGTTTTATACTTACTATTATACATCGATATTGTTTCTTAAAACTATAATTTGTAACTATGATTTAAGATCTGTTTTTCCGCAAAACAAATGATAGTAGGTATGTATTTCATTTGCACATTTAGTCTTTTCTTTTTCTTCTTTGAGAACCAGCCAAATCCAATTATAGAAGACGTTTGAGACGACCATGGATTTAAACTTAGTTTGACACAGAATTGCAACGTAACTACATCGTGATAATCCCCGTATTCCTTTACATTTCATTTATCCTTATTTACTTTCGTTCAAGCAAACGCTTGGCTGCCTCTGAAAACCCCTATTGCGAAATGTCGGAGTTGACATAGACAGCCGCCATTTTGAGCCCGCTTCAGATTTTTAAATGTTAATATCTAGAGTTTGGATTTATCAATGTTCAAACAAATTATATAGTAAGCATTATAAGAGTGGTCTCTATTAACATTCCAAAAATAAATGAAAAATATTGAAAAACGAAAAAGTTAGAAAATATGGATTATTTAAATTCGCTTCCGCTAGCAACCGGAAGTACTGACGACACACTAAAAGGTGATTTCGCATATCTTAAAGACATCATCTATCATCTTTTACAAGTCCCAAGATAATATCTTAGACCAATTTTGTAAAAAAGTCGGGACAAAAATCCATTTTAAAATCGGAAAACAGTCAATAACTTGGAACCAAGGTGAGTATTCCAAATTTTCCTTGTCTGATGCCAAACTTCATATAATGACGCATAATTCCTGAAAGTTTCATTGAAAACCACTGAATAGTTTTCGAGAAATCGCGTGCACAAAATTTTGGGGAAAAAAAAAATAATAATAATAATAATAAGAAACAGTAGAATCACTAGAAGGTCTTCCGTGAAGACGGAAGACCTTAATAATAATAGGGAAAAAAGAAACCGAAGAATAACAAGAAGGTCTTCCGTTGGAGACGGAAGACCTTAATTACAAAATGTCGCATAGGTTCACGGCAAAACATGGATGACGCAAAATAATCCCTGAATTTTCCTCTTTAACTCGAGCAATCCTGTATTAGATAGATCTGATGTTAGTTGTGAGATGATAAATCACGTGTAAACTTTCTTAGTTCAGCGGAATCATGGACATTTTCGGCGTTATGAATGTTTTGTTTACAGTAGCGGTGAGGGCATCGCGCAACTATTGGAGTGGATCTAAGGATTTATGAATGAATAAAAAAGATGGAAATAAAGTTTGATTTATTCTGTATTATTTAATGACATTATTCATTTGCAAGTAATAGATATATACAAGAAAACGCGAAATGCTAATAAATGCAGCTGAAAATCTTTATTTTCTCAAGATAAAAAAAATAAATTAAATAATTATAAATTCTACAAACAAAACATAGGAAGAATGAATGATGGCACGTTATTAGATGACATCAGGGGAACTAATTTTTATGAATGAAACTTTTAAAACGTTACTTGTACGTTGTAGGTGTTACATCTGCGAAGTCTACCTTTCTGCACGCTTCCGGGAAGGGGGGGGGGTCTTGAATATAGACCTGTAAATTACCATTATTTTGTTAAAAGAATTAAGCCTTATCATTTTCTTTACTTTAAGAAGAGTGTCTTGTTATGTAAATGTCAAGGTCAGTTTATGTAGAATGTAAAAAATTAAAGCCGAATTGGCATTTATTTCAATGTGCGAGAAAGGTGGGAGATAGGTCTTTTACAGTTCACAAAAACGAAATAGGGGGAGGGGGGATAAGATGAACACATATGATATATATAATATACACACTTTATTTACTAAAATCTCGTCTCAATTGAACCATGGAAGTTTTTCTACCGGTCCTTTCGCCATCGCGGCGTCAAAGACTTTACCTGGACACTTGGGTATTGCACAATGGGTTTTCCCCCCGCGAAGTCTATTTATGAGAAAAAAAAATTAATATTTTTTAGTGTTTAAGGAAACGTTGAACCTACGTTTGCAAAAGTTCTTAGACATTCAAAGATATTTAATTCCTTCTTTATCAAATCAAGAAACTGGTTATACGTAAAATCAGCAAATAGGGGTCTTTACTTATGCCATGAATATCACAGAAAAAGATAGAAAGAAAGACAAAGAAATTTAAAAAATCGACTTTTAATCCCCTTTTCTGTGACGACCGGAAGAATTGACGACGGAAAAAATGTTGTTCGACACATCTTCAAGTCCAGATCTATGATATCTGACACAGTAAACTTTCATATCTTTAGCTGTTCTGGAGAAATGGACCGGACAAAGGTCATTTCCAAAAGTTGGTCAATACGAAAATAGTAAGAATACTAGAACGATCTCGTTGCGAGCAACGAGAGGTCTTCCGTCCCATTCTGAAATAAAATGCAAAAAATCTAGCAGAAAAAGTGATAAAAAAAATCGGACATTCGGGGGAGCGAACCCGGGTCGCTCGCGTGACAATCCAACGCGTTAACCATTCGGCCATTGAGAACAGCGCTTCAAATTTTTAAATGCAAATATCTCGAGATTGGCTTTTTCGATTCTAAAACAAATTACATATAACGCATTCGCAAATGAGTCTCTATTTAAATTATTAACATCACAAAAAAATATTGAATAACAAAAAAGTTGGAAAATTGCATTTTTTAAATACCCTTCCGGTACAAACCGGAAGTACTGACGACGCACAAAAAGACGATTCTGCAAACCACAAAGTCATGATCTATCATCTCCAATTAGTCTCCAGTTCATATACTCAGCCATTTTCGATAAAAAGGGGCGACAAAAATGCATTTTAAAATCAGGAAATTGGCCATAACTTGGAACCGGAATCATATTTTCCAAATTTTCCTTAAAAAGTAACAACTTCATATTATAACACATATTCTGTGAAAGTTTCGTTGAAAACCGCTGAATAGTTCTCGAGAAATCGCCTGCACAAAATTTTGTCAAAAAAAAGAATAATAATAAGAATAATAATAATAATAATAAGAAACAATAGAATCACTATAAGGTCTTCCGTGAAGACGGAAGACCTTAATAAGAAACAGTAGAATCACTATAAGGTCTTCCGTGAAGACGGAAGACCTTAACAAGATTTTGTAGAATCCATGTATCAATATATATGTATATATGTGTATACTTTTTGAAAACCTTTACTTTATCAATAAATAAGCTTAATTTTATTTTACATTTATGTTGGATAATAGTTGTATCTTCCCCATATGGGTCATTGTATAACAAAAACTCCCTTCTTATTTTGGAATTTATTTATGAAGATTTCTTAATATTTATAAAAAAAAAAAAAAAAGAAAAACAAAACCTTTTTTCTCATGAAATTGTTGTGTTCTTTGAATGAACTATTTGAAAAACATAGTTTGATACAAATTATTTTTCCGTATATAAAGAGCGATATATGGTAATGGTCTCAATTGGCCCCTTAAAATTAATATCTTTATTTTACTTTATATCTAGCTTTAATTTGTACAGCTATATATGCGACGTTTATTGGTCATTTTCATTTTGATCAAAATGCCGTTATTTTAGAAATATGACATCTTAAAAATCACGTTTTCGCGCCATTTTAGCAAATTTTCTATAAAACTGCTTATTTTCAAGCAGTTTTTCTTCCAGAAAATATAGAGCGCAGCCTTGAACAAGATTTATATTTTTACCAAAGATGTATATACCCAACACTAATTAGTGACAGATAAATTATGCATGTTCTATACTGCGCTCTATGTTTCCCATAAGAAAAAACATCAAGAAAAAGGCATATTTTTGGCTTTTTTGCTAGATAGCAAAAATAGCATTATTTCTAATGTCATTTACAGAAAGAGAGTGCATATAAATGTGAAAAATATATTGGAAATATTTCTAACATAATCTCTTCTACAAAATAAATATCAATTAAACATATGTGATTGTCATTTTAAAATATTGATTTTTAGGGGGCCAAAATTGGCTCTTATCATATATACTCCTTTCTATTCAAGAAATATATATTTTTCGTTATTTAACGTGTTTAGAGAAGGAGTATATCTATGTTGAAAAGGAAATGACATGGAGTGATGCACTTGACTTCTGTGAACGAAATAATTCGGTATTGTCAGCCTTGAACAACGAAGACATTGCATCTATAGAGACATGTAACCAAAGCAGTAAAGAATTATGGACAAGTTCCTTTCTATATGCAACCTCCTACTTATCCATAATGGGTGAGACATATAGCATCGTACTGCTTAATTTGAAACAAAACATTTGAGTAAAGTATTTATCACTTGATTTGAGCAAGTATTGCATAAACAAAGACAATGCTGTCAAAATTCAGTTATGGTGCAATGAGGTTCAATAAATCTATTAATGTTAAATAAATCTTTTATAAGATAAGGGATTATCTAAATACAACATTTTACAAATTGTTGCTATTTCATCATATCTCAATGAACCACCTTTTATATCACCATTATTCAAAGGTTGCTTCAGAAATACAAGACTTAACTTTTCAAGTTTAATGAGACCTTCTATACTGGATTGTCAAGATATGTGCTCCAATTCATCTGCATTCGCTATCATGGTAAGTATAAATACAGTGCTGTCATTAAACGTCGAACAAATTTTTTTATCTGAATTTGCAGAATGTTGCTTTTTAAAAGTTAAAAGTAAAAACATAGTTTAACGTCTCTCTGGATTGTAGAATAGGTGGTGTGCTTGTTTAGAAGACAATTTCAGTTTTATGGAAACCGAGGATGCCAATGCATGTAATATTACATGCGATGGTATATTTTTCTGTGGAGGGAAAGATTCCATGAATATATACTCCGTCGGTAAAGTACTTTTCCTACATACTTGATGTACTTTAGCTATTTTTATGAATATTTTCTGTTCTTTGCACATAACAGTTTGAATGAAAAGTTTTTTCAATCTTCAAAATATATCATGAAATGAAATGCCATAATTTTGACATTACAGTTGGAGAAGATTTCTTTGGTATGAGACAACATCTAACTAACCCAGATTTTGATAACTCATGTCTCTCGTATCAGTGTTTACCTCTAACTAACGAATACCGGTATCTCTACAAAGACGTGGATTGTAACTCTGAAGAAGTCAGTGGAGCAGCTTGTAGTGAGTAAAATGTACACTATAGTGAATAAATTATACTGTATCAAATGAAGTTTAATCCTATTTACGTTCATTTCTTTTAGGTACTTTTTTCTCCTGCACATTTGAACCTGGAGATTCCTGTTTTCTCTCTCAAGTGAAAAACGACAACCTTGATTGGATAATTAGCGTATGCAGACAGATTCTCTCGCCATTTTTTGTCTTTAACTTTAAATCTTGTTTGCTCTCTTGCACAAATCATATCATCTATATACATATTCAAAATTATAAAGAAAATTCAAAGAACTTTATTCGGTAATAACCAATATTTGCCCCCCAAATCAAACTTTGATGGAGGTATATTTAATTAAGTTCTTAAACAGAGAAGTATATGCTGACTTCAAAGCACTGAATATTTTCATAAGTAATGACGTCATATGTACGTAATGACGTCACAAACATGACGTAAATTTCAGTTTTTAATGAATTCTATAGAAAAATGTACATATTTCGTCGATATCTTGAGTAAAAGTCATCGAGCGCATGTGTGTTCAGGATCAATATTTTGATATAATGTGTTGAATGATAGTATCAATGAAATATGTAAATATAAATCCTGAACAAACATGCGCTCTATAAATTTAAAAGCTAAAACTGTTGAAATTTTGTCCATTTTGTCCATTTAAAATTGGACTAGTTTGTGACGTCATAAAAACAAAAATTGTGAATGAACTGTTTTGAAACTATAATATGTTCTGTTAATTTATATTTCTCATACAATTTATTGAATTCAGCACATTTCATGAAGTTTTCAAAATGTAACTTTTGTGGGGGCAAGTATATGCAATATACCGCATATAGTTCTTTATCGTTAATAGCCATTACTATCCGAGTCTAAAGAATTTTTTTCTTCTTTGACAGTTGACAGCACATAATTTATGAAAAAAACGCTTAAAAAAACAGGCATTATCAAGGCACAAGTATTATAAAAATGTTAATCATGTCTTCAGGGAAACGCCCTCGCTGGAGCACAAAAAGCTTATCAAGGATCGAATTTTGCCTTTGTAAACGACAGCAGTGACGATAGACCAGGAGATCGAGCAACTCTTAGGTCAAATATAGACTTTCCTGGTAAATATTGAATCTATAGATAAATATTTAGGGATGATTTTAATCAGAGGTAAGCATAATTTAACTTCACCTCTATAGGTGAAACTTTAAAAAGTCTGCATTAACCTCAAGGAAACAGATGGTCTATTGCACATTTTCCAGATTTTAAAGGGACATGGATACAGTTTTAACCGATTGTTTTTAAAAAAAACAATTTTAATGTTTACAATTCTTAATTAAGGCAATCCAAATGAATATTTTGAACACCAATTGGTAATGTACAAAGGAGATACAGAACTTAAAATTCTTCATAATGTAAACAACCAGGCTCGTGCCTAGTTTCTGTGTACATATAGAAAATGTATTTATAACAAAACGAGGTTCGGCAAATTTTTTTCTTAATATATGCAACATACAGCTGTATAAATATGTGTCAAATGTATTTCCTGATAGAAGTAATAAGCTTGAAGCATTACTTTTTAATGATTTGCAAAAATTCAATGCTAATATCCACCACAGGAATGGTATACGATAAATTACTTTTTCTACTGTTGTTTTGTTTAGAGAATCGAATGTCCTTTGTGTCACAGAATTCAGATTATAAATTCTACTTACAGACTTCAACGGCGGTGATTGGTGTCTACGAGTTTGGGTTTTTCAGAATATTTCTGCTGGTGGACGTTTTCACGTATACATCAAGAACTCTGACTTAAATAAAATACTAGAATTGTACAATCAAACATTGTCTGCCGGACAATATACAGAATGGAAATATTCCGAAATAGATATCCTGCTTCAAAAGAACGATATTGTAAGTAGAATTACATGTATCTTCATTGGACAGAATTCACATTAAAAAAAGTACTGTGTTTTTAAAAATGTTTTACATTTTTTTTTACAAATTGAAAATGACAAGTACCTTTGAATACCTATGAATAGCACTGTATAATGATATAATGCTTTTCCTACAGACATGCCCAAGCTGTTGCTTCCAAACTTTCAATTACAAAAAAACCTAACAGTGCCTAAATATTAAATAAATCTTTCCTTGTTTAACGCCCCTCCTAGAAGTTTTCAGTCATATTGGAAAGCAAACATATACTTGCATGTGTACACTATATAATATATATTACTTTTTTTAATCTCAATATTTTTCTTTCGTATCATATTTTAAAACAAAATCTATTTCATTCTACATAGCAAATCCTGTATTTATAATCCATGTGAAAAATCAAATCAACGCATTATAATGTTAAATTGTGACATCATAGCCGATGTAATTATTTGAATATTTTTCGAAATGGACATTTATGAGGGGGTATCATAAAGTTCGTGGACTAGCGCCATAAAATATAAACTGCTTTATGTAACCCTAGTGATCTGGCTAGACTACCGCAATAGATGAAATATAACAAACAATGTATACTGAGTGAGAATTGTCATTTCTTAAATGACAATAATCATATAACACAGATAAAGTGAAGGGGAGATCACCGGGATATTTCCTGAGTACAAAGAACAATACATTTGGCAACGGTATCTCCCCTGTTGCAAACAAACATTACTTTGGCAAAAATATTTTGACAAATAAAAAGTATATAAACCACAAAGTTGTCAAAACAAAAAGCTGCCACCAAAAGCAAACTGCCTGGAGTCACCCTCAATATGAACTCCATCTCGTCCCAGGTAGGACAGGTCCGCCCAAAATACCCCTTGTGGCCAAAAATACACACCATCTACTTTCCCTGTTTCCTCTTTCAAAAGATTGTTAACTTTTACAACATCCTCGTTGAACTTGTCACGAGAATCCCATGGCTGACGGCGTAATAACTGTCCAACAATTACAATTTTTATCCAACACCATCGCGCAAGTATTGTGCATAAGAAATTAAGTCCGTACACACTTTTTCAGGATTGTTTAGACTCAAGTCATTACTGCCCATCTGTATAAAACAAATATCGGGGGGCGTCAAACCGTAAAAATTCGACACAGTGGGCTAGACGTTTGAATGTTAAACCACCGCATGATCTGAAATCTACTTTGAAGGAGTCCATATCCAAATTCAAATTAGTCCTAAGATCACTTGCATTTATAAATTCTTTAAAAAGGCGGATATAAGAATGTCCTAAGATGCACACAGTTCGAATGTTTACTTCGGGTTCGGCTGCCATTGCGTAACACTGTTGGGCTGGACGGAGCCTTTTTAATCCTTGGACAAAAACACTCAAAAAATCCGCAAATCACTTACTTTTCACTGATCTATTCTTATTTTGTAGTCTTCCGATTGGTAAAGTCAATGCAATAAGTTCGTAAAAACGATAAAAACACTCGTGAAGACGTAAATTTCTCAAAACAATTCTGTGAATTTCTTGGCACTTCTAAATCAGTGAAAAGACGCTATCTTGTATCACGTGATTTGAATAAGCATTACGATTGGATAATAATTTTTTCTCAAGGAGACAGCTAATAACACAACAAGACTCAAACAAACATGAAAGTTGAACTACATTACATCATAGATTACATAAAGGCTATTATTTATAATAATGCTGTATTAGGTAAATCAATGAATATTGAAATATCTAGTTAGCATCATCTTTTCTATCTACAGAATAAACCACAAATCATGTATTTCATTTTTTAATAAATTAGTCATGTTTTTGTAAGAAAAAGTACGTCCAGGCGGCGCAAACCTCGAAAACGACGTTTTTTTGACCTAAGTGTAACTGAGAAAAAACTATTTTGATATGAACATTTGACATCCAAAATCCCGTTAATTCAGGTATGCGTTGGGACGCTATTGTACCATAAAATATGCAACCGTTATTCATTGGGGAAGTTCCATGAAATTTTATCGTAAATTTTACATGGAGTGTCCAAACAGATATTGCTTGAAAATGACGTCAAAAAGGGGTAGGGGTTCCTTTTCCAACATTCTAAAATCCTTTGCCACTGAAAAGGGGTTCCTTTTCCAACATTCTAAAATCCTTTGCCCTTGAAAAAAAATAGTTTAGACCTAGGAAATGTTTAAACTGGCTACGGAGAAATAATATGCATCAAGAGTACTTGTTTTTTAATGCTAAAATAGATTCAGAGAGAAAAGGAATGCACAGTTAAAGTCGATTTGTAGTCAAAGTGTAAAAAATCAATCACGTCAAAAATGGCGTCGGTCATGTGTTGTAGACATTGAACTCCAAAATGCAAAGTCTGCTGGCACAATCAAGCGAGGATCTCTCCCATAGTATAAATCCATATTATATTCATTGAAGGCCACTGTTCATGACATTGTAAAGTCATATAAACAAGGCGGGTTTAAGTCCTTACTCAGCTCCTGGGTGTAGAAAGTGTATGAAGTAGAAGAAGCAGACATTGAAAGACAATGACGTTGTAGGATGTCAAATGTGAATTTTATTTTATTATATAATAATTTGAGAAATAATGAACGTATCAAGCTAAAATTTTCAACATTTCTTTTCTTTGTTGTTGATTTACATGTATGTTCCTTCAAAAATTTGTAAGCTCAGTACTAGTTTTATAGCCTCAGTCCGCGAACTTTTTTGATAACCCCTCGTTACTTAGCAATATTAATCTTAATTGTAAAATTTTTAATCTATCTATTTTAAATACAAATCTACAGTAATTATTCAAAAGTTTCAGATTGTAAATATTCCAAAACAAAGGAAACTATCACGATGCTTGTAAGGCTAGTACTGTAGATTCCTTATTTTTCGCGAATACTTTTTTTTAAATGCGAAATGGCTATTTAATAGCATATGGCGAGAATAATAATTCGCGATTAAACGGTTGATGGAGAGAATTTACATGTATTTTAGCACCTTAAAAATAAAAGCGCGATATTTTATTTCGTGAGTGGTACTTCTTGCGAAATTACTGGATAATCAATTCCTCGCGTATAATTAGGAATCTACTGTAACAAAGTTAAGGATCAAGGAAGGGCAAAATGTAATAAATTACCGATAATTAAAAAAATTATAAAGAACTTCAAGAAGGAAAAAACATATTCTTGAAGTAAGCTCGAACCTTTAGAAATTCTAGCTGACTCCTCAGAAAAACGTCGGAAATATGCAATTGATGCTGGTAATATCGGCATTTACAAAACACATGTGAATTTGAAATATTGAATGAAAATATCAGCATATAAATTCTCAATAATGCAACATCCCAAAGAAAAAAAAATGGCCCCTGCATTTGCCAGATCTCAATCTTTATATTTTTCTCTTTTTCTGGGATTTCCTAGCTAGGAAGAGGGTTTAAAATCTTAATCTACATATACTGAAAGAAGAAAAAATACTAAAATTTAAAAGAAAGTCTCAGCAAAAAATGTATGACAAGGTTAAAATTAAAAAAAAAAACTTTGCAATTGAAATAGGCGAAGATAATTAAAATATGTAATGTGGATTTTGGATGCAATTCATAAATTTTCGCAATTTTCTTCCGTGTTTAAGATTCCATCCCATGTTTAATATTTTATTCAGTAATTCTACAAGATGTGTCTAATTCTATTGACAGAATTATCTTGCACCTTGACATTAATATTGTTGCATGTCTACATGATTATCTTGCATGTTGACATAAACATATATGTATAAGCCGCATGTCTTCATAATTAACATGCATGTTGACATAAATAAGTCGGATGTCTACAAAAATATGTTGCAGATACGAGCGTTAGCGAGTTTAATCTATAAGATTGGTAACTTGAATGTCAACAAAATTATGTTGTATGTTAACCTTTATTTGGCATGTAGGGGGCAGAAATATGCCACCATACTGTTATTTGCTTTACTTGATAGAATAATTTAACTTCCTATTCTTTTCAGATTTTCTTCAGTTTATTCGAGGTAAAACGGAATAACAATCATTGCTATAGATGACATTACACTCACAAAAGGAAAATGTGGTACTTTCTTTAACTTTTAATATGAAGACTTTTGTGAAACTTTTATAAAATTTTATTGTTGATAAAATTTGTATATTAGCTTTCAATAGTAGCTAGGATTGCCAATATTAAGAAAAGAAATTAAATTTGTTATTTACAATATACTTTATGAATTTAATATAATATTTAGCTTGATAAAAAATGAAATAATTAAAAATTTAAGCATTCAAAAATAATGATATCATGTTTTACTGTGACTAACTTACTTTGTTTGCGAAATCAACATTTCATCTGGCAGGAACTTCAGATGCCTTCGACTTTTAAGTATGAGACAAAACCTTCAAATAATTATTATTCAAATCATCATTTTCTTTCCCCGTTTTCAGAGCATACGTTTACAAAGGTTCTGCTTATGTCAGGGGAGATGAATAAAGTGTGACTTTGAAGGAAACAAAGATATTTGTTTTATTCAAAGCAAAGATGACAATTTCGATTGGATGATTACACGGGTATTACGCATTTAATAACGAGTCATTTATTTTTGCATTAAAAGGGAATTTAAGGACAAATGTTAAAGAAAACACTCACCTGGTCAAAATTGATTTTATCTTTGTTCTAAATTTCCGAGACATTGAAAGAAATGCTATTCAATATATTCAAATATCACTTAAAGTAAATGATTTATGATAATTATGATGATTGGCGCTGATTTTTTTTTTTACTGTGATCTTTTTAGACATTGTAATTTACCTTGAATTGAAAGAACAGAATGATGAGAGAAACAATTCATAAAATCTACTGACAGTTCAAATCCAACTTTGATTTTTTTAAATTATTTTTTTTATGCATAGAATGGACGAACACGATCCAATGGCCAAAAGACAGGACCAAGTGAAAATATAGAAGGAAACTATTTCAGCTTCATTAATACAAGTACTTCTCAGCAACAATCAGAACAACCAAAATGGCATTGTCATTTCCAAATTTAACATGACAGGTGCAGACATACACCAAAATTAAATTGCATCATTATGGTCTTATGTCTCAAACTTCTGACTTATGTGGCTCTTAACTTTTTCCTAATAAAAATCTAAATGGATTTGGATAACAATATCGAAAATGTGATCTCTTTCATTACAAAATTAAGGATACATTATATCTATTGTATCTAAGAATCAATAACAATTTTAACATTGAAGAGGACTACATATCCCTGAGTGATGAAATCAATTAAAAATTAAATATGACTGACTTTTGTTTAAAAAAGCAATTGCTCACATTTCTATAAATATATAATTATTCTTAATTCATGAAATCCAAGGGTTATGTGACTTCATTTTTGAAACTGTTGAAATAAACACTGATAAATAGCAAATAACATTTTATTTGCAGGGGATTAAACATAACTTCTGTTAATCATTAATTCTGTAGTAATAACTATTGCTACTTTAATTCAAATACAGTATGTTATAACACCACATGAAAGTAGAAGATTGTATAATCCAAACTGGGATTTATCATCTAAATAGAATTGTAATTTACTATCACGATGTTTTCTTTCCTTCATAGTATGCACATAAT